GGGCCCATGGACTTAGGGAATGTTGTTTGGGAATTCCCCAAAGCCAAAGTGGGCCCTAGAACAAAAGACCAGATGGGTCTGGAAACCCCAGGGCAAGGTGCTAGCCCAGAAGCTGTCCTTGTCTGGAGTGGATATTGGGGGAAAGCAGATAAATTCTTTGACAGTTTCTGTGTGGTATGTCTGTGGTTAACTTTGCACTCTGAGTGGTCTTTCTTGAAAGTCACTGTCAAAATTCTGCTTGCAGAGGAGGTGGAAAGGCTCCCTAGAAAGAGTAAGCAGGCCCCCTGGGGTTCTGTTGCAGGCCTTCCCTTCTGCCTCATTACACATTCTGCCTTCTTCAGTGAGGACAAACCCTGGCTGCCTCTTGTCTTTCCCATATGGGGGAATCAGAGGACTTGGATTCCCAGACTCCGCCAATGGGACTAACCATGGGCCTCTCTGAACTGTTTCCTGGCCTCCCCTGGTGGACAGCAGTGGCACTTCAGTCCTTCCCTGAGAGGCCACTCCCCTGGTGTCTTGAGTGGGGCCACTTTGAGGCCTGGGCTTGTGACCTGGGGCAAAAGCCTGAGTCTCCCAGGGAGGCTGCACCCAGGGCAGGAGGAGCTTTCTGGGCCAGTCAGGGATTATCACCAGAACAGCATGCGAAAAAACACTCCACCCTACCAAGGATTAGAGGCTGTTGATCTTTAGGACAAGATTGCTGCTCTTGGCATGAAAGGCCAAGGCAGGAGAGTACTCCATGGGTCTGGCCCCAAGCAGAGAGCGGCAGGAGCCTGAGCCTTTGCAAGTTTGGGCCTGAATAAGAGTTAGTCCTTCTTGAAACTCCCAGCCCAGTGGGGTCCAGGGGAGAAAAAGCAGCCCTGGGGGTCAAGTAAGTTTTCCTAAATGCCATCCGAAGCCACTCCCATGCCCCCAGAGGTGATGTGATGTCTCACTCTAAAACTTTTTCTTTTGTCTTAAAAAAGACAAAAACTCTGAAGTAACTAAAAAAGACAAAAAAATCTAGTACTGGGCTGGGAGTATACGTCAGTGGTAAAGCACTTGGGTAGACTATGTGAAGCACTGGGGTCCATCCCTGACACTGCAGCATGGTCTGTACACCAAGCATAAACAAGATCCTGAGCTAGGCCCTGTGGAATCCAGGAATATGCTAGATGGTAAAGATGGCAGCTGGGCACCGTCATGTAAATCTGTCATCCCAGCATGAGACACAAAGATCCCAAATTCAAGGCCCCTTGGGCTATGCAGTGACACCTTGTCCCAAAGGGAAGAGAGAACACAGCAGAATGAGCCATCTAGAGGCTTAGAGACCAAAGGTCAGCACAGACAGACAGGGGAGCAGAACCTGCCTCTGCCAGTGTCTCCTGAGGTGTACCTATGGCAGGGTCTAGAAGCTTCCCCCCAGGGGCGGTGGGTCCTGGGCAGACAGGCCTCCAGGAACAGGCAGGAAGGGTGGAGTATGCTCAGGGAACAGTGAGTAATGTGGGACAGTGCTTCAGAGCATCCTGCCCCAGGCATAGGCAGAGCCTTCTAGAGAGTGAGCCTTTGGCCCTCTCTCTTGGGGAGGGGCAGGGAGCGAAGCAGAGAGAGGAGTGGGGCGTAGGGGAGAAGTCTGCAGCTTGAGTGCAGGAGCAGGGACCCTGGATACAGTGCCATCAGGCTTTTGGGAAACATTTTCTTTCCTGGGAGACTGCTTAGGGGGTCGGGGGGGGGGTTGCCAGGAAAGCCACTCGAGGTGCAGAACAGATGCTAACCAAGGCTAGAGAGAGGCATTCCAAAGTCCCTCAGGCTTGCTGAGAAGCTAAACGGTGCCTACATCAAAATTTGAACTGGGAAAGGCCCTGAGTCAGAACATTATTTAAAAAGCCTCTAGGCCCACATGTGGGAGTATAATCCTGAGTGGGAGAGAGTTCCTGCTCGTCTTGTATGTGTTCAATAGTTCTTAAGGTCCTTCCTCCCTTCTTTCCTTCTTTCCCTTTCTCCCTTTTTTCCTCCCTTCCTCCCTCCTCTTTGGTGTTGGGGATCAAACCCAGGGTCTCACACACAATAGGCAAGCATGGGGCTGGGGAGATGTCTCGGGTTAAAAGCACCAGCTGCTTTTTCAGAGGACCCAGGCTTGTCCCCCAGCATCTAAATGGTGGTTAACACCAGTTCCAAAAGATCTGATGCCCTCTTTTAACCTCCGAGGGCACTGCATACATGGGTGCACTTTCATATATGTAAGTAAAACATTCATATAGATAAAAATAAAGTAATAAAAATTTAATTACTAAAATAATTATAACAGGCAAGCACACTACGACTGCACTCCAGTCCCAGCTGTCCATGGTTCCAAGAGCATTTCACACTAGACATATTCCCATTTCACCACTGAAAACTGAGGTCAACCCTACTAATAGTGCCAGCTACCTCAGTCCCCTCTTACAGTTTTGAATCCAACCTTCCTTCAGGTGTTGGGTCCTTTCTGCCCACAGCAGTGCAAGAGGCAGGGACAGGCTTAGGAACCTGAAGCAAGTTTCACTGGGGCAGAGGGCTAGACCTCCTTTGAGCAAATGTACACATGTGCCCTCACTAGATGATCAGATTGCCTTCTTTCCTCTTACACCAATATATATAGCTTTGGGGTTTATCATTTTGTTTACTCTTTTCCCAGGTTGTCCTGAAGCTTGAGATCCTCCTGCCTCAGCCTCCTAAGTGCTAGGATTACAGGCATGATGTGCCACCATGCACTGCTCATAAGCTTATCATTAGATCAGCTTCTAGGACATTGTAGAATAGGGTACACAGGAGCTGGTACACAGAGAATGGAATGAAAACTGCTATGTAATTGTGGGCAAGTTACTTGGATTTTCTACATTTTACCAACTAGGGAAGTGATGCTCTCGCTTACCTTGTAGACTACATAGTTCCAGAGTGTTGGATTTACATGGTTCCAGTGTGTTGGGGTTACATGGTTCCAGTGCGTTGGCTACATGACTCCAATATGTGCCTTCACAGTGGGGCAGGCCCATCACTCACCCATTTGGATTATGACAGGGCACTCCAATACCTAGTTAAAGCCACCTTATAGAATAGGTCTCCTGAAGTCATCATTTGAACAAATGCTCTGCCTGGGTAGGACTCACCCTTTCCCAGGAGGGAAATCGGCTTCTGGAAACCTGGCACCCATAACCAACTCTCCAGATACTTCTGGCTTTCTTGGATAGCTGGACATTTTGAGACCAACCAAAAGGCCACTAGTCATGGGTCCTCTAGACCTACTTTGAGCATAGCCCTGGGTTTTAGCTGACATACAAAAAGACTACCCACATAGTTTTTCTCAAGACTGACAGGAGTGACTCACCCAAAGGTCAGCAGTGGGTAGGGCAAAGTGACTCACTGGTTCTGCACATGGCCTGTCCCCACAGCTGCCTGGCTTCAGCCTCTCTCAGTGAATATCCTCAGCCCTGAGACTCTCCACATGGAGGAGGGGGCTGCCTCATTCTTAGATGGCTATGCTGGAAAGCACCCAGCCCCTCACTCACACAGATGAAGAATGGAGTCAGGGGAACTGGCCTGCTCACACTTCAGCTTGACAAAACCTGGAAGGGACTGAGCTCCATCTCTTAGCAATTTGGGCCTGTGTCATCTGTTGTCCCCCCCCCCGCCCCACCCCCAGTGCCCACTGTGCCTGGCTCCAGGTCCTCTGTGGCTCTTGGTAGAACAGTTACTTACCCAACCTCCATGACCCTCTGAGACAACATCCCTGTAATCTTGTTTCTAAGAAAGGGCAGAATGAGCCTGTGGACCTGCTGGTCCCCACTAACCATAATGTCAATAAACAATGTGAGAACATGTTTACTTTTCTGTTAAAAGAGCCAGTCCTTTCCTGTCCAACTTTAGTTTTGTAAAGAAACAAGAATACAGACTAACAAGGATTAAGGGCTAAATAATTGACAGAATGGTGGAGCAAAGCACAACTTTAAGGAATGCAATCTGCAGTCTCCGGATGGATGGGAGCTGGCAGGAGGGCTGGGGTGGGGTGGTGGGGACTGTAGGCTGGAATAGAGAAGGGGAGGCCAGAAGTAGAAGTTAGGTATGTGTGTTCCTATTCCCTGCCTATCCACCAGCTGACAGGATTCTCAGGGGCTGCCTTTCCCAATGTCTGTGCACCTTGAACAGGAACTCTGGGAGCCAGGCCTCAGCCTCAGTGTCCTGTTGTTACTAAGTGAAAGTGAGAGGTGGAGGGGAGTGGGCCCCAAGAGACTCAGAGACTCAGGATCATATCGGAAAAATATGAGAACAGCTGAAATCTGTCTTTCCTTCTAGGGAAGAAGGGTGCCATTCTGCCTTTCCAAGGCTCCCACTCTTCCAGGGACCAGGTTTTCTTTCTAAGATATGGAAACTGAGAACTGAGCACCACACCCCAGGTAGAACTGGGCCCCAAAGTCAGGAGCCCAGGCCCATGGACTCCCTCCCTAGGAGAGTTTGAGTTGGATGGAAGTCTCTAGCAACCTGATACAAGCTCTGCAGACAGGCCCTGCATGCCTTGGTCCTGGGAGGGGCCAAGGCAAGTGGGAACCAAGGATTGTAAGTCAGTGAAACATAAATGACTCACCCTGGGTGGCTCTGCTCCCTGGTCCAGCCCACATTCCCAGGCCTTTGTTCTGACCCGCCTAGGCCTGGCCTTAAAGGGCCAGATCTTCTGAGGCAGGATAGGACCTCCAGCCTCTATCCCATCCCTCTCCTTATCTAGACCCCTGGTGGAGTTGCTTATAGGCTTAGGGCTATGGAGAAGAGAATGCTGTCCTGCAGGGTTTAGAGAACCAATCCCAGCCTTAGCCCCAGTTGGATTAAAAAAATCTTTTCCCCACCCACAAAGACTCTACTAGGGGGAACCCCCTTCAATGAAACTTCCTCCAGAATCTTAGAGCAACTCCCTTCAGGCTGGAGGTCATACTGGAGTCCCCATCCTGGATGGGATGCCTCCTTCATCATCTCTCCACTTTACCCTGACTCACCTTAGTATTGGTTTATACTTCTTTGTTTTGGTTTGACATCTTGCTCTGTGGCCCAGGATGACCTGAAACAGTCTTTTTGCTGGCAGTGCAGGCATGTACCACCAGGCTCAGCTAGCATTGGTTCATGTCTGGTAGGTTTTAGTCTACATACTTATGGTCTCTTCGGGCTCAGGTCCTGGGCCCCCATGAGTCCAGCTTCCACAACAATCCTGTCCTGTTGTGTAGGAGTGGGGCACTTCCTTGGGCCTGAACTATCACCCTGACACCCGGTGCCCAAGCAAATTCTTTGGATCTCCCACTCCACCCTGTGGACACTGGAAAAATGGCCTTCAGGAGACTATCACCCTCAGTTAAAAACGGCAACCTTAGTTAAAGCAAAATGAAAGTGAGACCTGAATTCAGAGAGGTGAGGATGGTCTTACATCTCTTAAGCTCACTGAAAGTCCCACATCCTCTGTAAAAAAGACTCTTAAATCAACAGGAACAGAAGTCAGTCAGCTGAGTTAAAAGTTACAGAGGCTGGGGGTGGGACTCAATGGCAGGAAGAGACAGCTAGAAATCACAGTACTTTTTGAGGAGAATTAGAAAGACATCTGTGTTCCCCAAGGACTTACCCCTTCTGCCATTCCTTCACCCTCCTCTCCATCTATAGTCAATGCTCAAACACATTGCTGGAGATTTGAGTTAAGGTTTATCTAGTGTCAATACGCAGGTTTTTAGAGCTGGATCAGTCTAGCAAATCTTGAACCACATGTGAGCTGGATTTAGAAGGAACAGAAAAGTACAGAAGGATGAGGTAGGAAGAGGCCTGGGATTGGGGTGGATATCAGCATGGGGACAAGGGCAGGAGAATGTTGATCCAGGTAAGGAAGGGGTTGGGTGACCTACAGACTCCCTGGATAACACATACTCTTAGTGACTCAGGGCAAACCTTCACTAAATGGGCTAGGACCACAGGTTGTAATGATGTGTCCAATGTGACCATTGGCCTTTGTTGGGTCTTGGCCCTGAGATCTCTGCCCTTTACTAACCAGGCCACCTGACCCCGCACAAGCACAGACTTGCTTGGACCTTATTTCCAAAGGCTGTGGATGAAGGGTGTGGCCTCCCAGACCCAACAATTCTCATCCCACACTCTGTCCCCACCTCCTTAGTCTCAGTGCTGGCTGAAAGCCAGGACCCAGAAAAATCTACTGGGAGGGACGTGAATATTCCATTCATTTTCTGTCCACAGCTCTTTTCCTTCTTTTTCTAGACTCAGCCCCAGTTTTTTCTCTAGACTCAGCCCTGGTCTGATTGTTTCATTTTGTTTTGGTTTGGTTTTTGTTTTATTGCTTCTTTTGTTTTTTGTTCTTTGAGACAGGATAGCCCTGTAGCCCTGGTGGGCCTAGAGCTTGCTATATAGACCAGCCTGGCTTCAACCTGCTTCTGCCTCTGAGGTGAAAGGCTTATACCACCAAGTCCAGCCTTGGTTTTTGTTTTCTTGTGACAGGGTCTATAAGCCCAGGCTGGCCTCAAACCTGCTATATAGCAGAGGATAACCTTGAACTTTTCTTTCTTTTCCTCTTTCTTTTGTCTAGGGTGTTTGTTTTTTAATTAATTAATTGAATTTATATGTAGGGTGTGCGTGTGAGTATATGTGAGTGCACATGTACATGTGTGCACTTGTTGTGGAGGCCAGAGTTCAAAAGTTGGGTGTCTTTGGACAGTCTCTCACTGAACCTGGAGCTCTGCTTGGCTAGGTTGGCTGGCCAGCAGATTCCAGTAATCTGCCTATATCGCCAATGCCTGGATTTTATGTGTTGGGGATCCAAACACAGTGATTGCATCACACTTTACTAAGCCATCTCCTCGGCCTCATACTTGAACTTCTGATCCTCTTGCCTCTGGCTCTGGAGTGCTAGGATTATGGGTATATGCCGTCAGGGTCATTTTACGAAGTGCTCGGGATCAAATCCAGGGCAAGCACTGCCAACTGAGCTACACTCCTAATGCTCCCAGTTTGTTGTTGATGACCGTGAAAATAAATAGCAACCAGGGCCTAGTGTTAGCAGCCTGCAGCCCAGTGGATGAGGACCAGGGGCTGGGTGGACAGCAACTGCCTCATCTATCCTTGGAGGTACTGGGCTTCAAGTCTGCCTGGCCTGTGTGCTCAGTCTGTGTTGAATGAGGGATCCCTATGGATCTCCATTCTCATCTCCCAAGGAAAAGTGTATAAATCATTCCTCTGGTCAAGGTGTGCACCCTGATGAGCCATCTCTGGTGTATCCCATCCTGACTGGAAACGGAATACATAGGAATGTCTGTCATGAGCACCCCCTTTACAGGGAGTGGTCCTGTGTAGAAAGCTGACAAACCTGGAAGGAAATGGGTCTCAAAGCGAAAAACCCACTCATTGGGATCTTTCAAGACACCCAATGAAATAAAAGGCTGGGGCACATGCTGCCAGCAATGATCTGATTCTCCGGGCTGGTGCTGTTTGTCAGCACCTTGTGACCCAGTGCCTGCTTTAACTATGGATACATGAATCTTCTTGGCAAGGGACTGAGAGTTTGGAAATAAGGAGGGTGGGGGGGACCCCGGGACAGGTGTCTCCTTCTGCTGGCCTAAAAGAGGCTGGTTCAGTTTGCAGCCAGGAAAGTGCGTTAGGGCTGGGGTCTCCGAAGAGGGGTGCTCAAGATCAGCTTTGAGGATATGAAGAAATTAAATTTCCATTCATATTTATTTTTATGTAATCTTTGTAGAAATTTGGTTTTATATTAATCTAATAGCACACAAATATAATTTATAATGGACATTTATATATATCTATTTTCTTTTGGGGGGGGTCTTTTTGAAACAGGGTCTCAACTCTGTATGTAGCCCAGGCTGGCCTAGAACTATATAATTTAGACTGGCCTTGAAATTTCAGTGGGATTACAGTTATGAGTCATAATGTTCAGCTGTAAATAGTTTTTAAGGGAGGTTGGAGAGATGGCTCAGTTGTTAACAGCACCAGGTTCAGTTCCTAAAACCCACACAGCAGCTAACAACTGTCCATTAACTCCAGTTTCAGGGGATCTGATGCCCACTTTTGGCCTCCATAGGCATTGCACACCATGGGTACACTTACATACATGCAGGCAAAACACTCATACACATAAAAATTTTCAAAGTTTTTAAGGACATCTTGGGTATGTTTGTGTTCTTAAATATTTATTACTATTATATGTATGTAAATGTGGGCTTGTGGATACCATACCATGCGTGTAAAGGTCAGAGGACAACATTCAGGAGTTAGTTTTCTCCTACCAAGGGATCCAGGGATCAAACTCAGGTCCTCAGGCTTTGTGCAGCAAGCACTTTTACCTGCTAAGCCATTTTGCCAGCCATGTTTATTTTTGAGATTGAGGAGGGGGGGTCTCACACTGTAACCCAGGCTAGCCTTATATTCATGGTAATCCTCCTGCCCCAGCTTCCCAAGTGCTGGAATTGTAGGCATAAACTACCACAGCTAGCTTCTTGGACACTTTTAAAGCCCAAAGATTCTGATTTAATAGGCTTCTCCTCCCTCTCAAATGCCTTCTGTGTAATTACCAGAGATAGAAACGTGAAGTGACTCGCTGGGATAATGCTGAGTATAAGAAACATCCAAACTCCTTGAAACTTGTCTCACTCATCCATTCACCCACACACTTATCCACCCACTCATCCATCTACCCACACACATCCCCACATACCCACCCACACACATACCCACCCACTCATCCACCCACCCAAACACCCACACTCACCCATCCCCCCACTCACCCACCCCATCCATTCACACACAACCCCACACACCCACCCACGCCCACTCATCCATTCACCCACCCACCCACACACTCATCCATTCTCCCACACTCATCCATTCTTCTGCGTTCATCCATCCACCTACACACTCATCTATCCACCCACACTCATCTATCCACCCACACACTCATCCGCCCACCATACACTCATCCATTCATCCACACACACATCCCCCCACACTCACCCACCCACCCACACTCATCCATCTACCCACACATTCATCCTCACACACTCATCCATCCTCCCACACTCATCCACCCACTACTCATCCACCCACCCACAAACTCATCCACCCTCACACACTCATCCACCCACCCACACACTCATCCACCCACATACTCATCCACTCCCACACACACTCATCCACTCCCTCCACACTCATCCACCAACCCACAAATTCATCTACCCACACACACACTCATCCACCTACCCCCATACACACTCATCCACCTACTCCCACACTCACCCACTCATCCACCCACCCAAACACTCACACCCCCCCAACATCCCCACCCACACATTCATCCTCCCACCCACACACTTATTCACCCCCACATACTCATCCACCCACCCACAAATTCATCTACCCACACACACACTCATCCACCTGCCCCC